ATAAACTTTTTTTCATTTATGCATCCTTTTAATATGTTCTAAAAAAAAAAAAAAAAAAAAAAAGAGAAATTATTTCCATTTTTTTATTATTTTTTATTTTAATTATGATATATTTAATTGTATATGTTGAATCATTTTAAGTTATTAGGTACTGCTTATATTGTTTTGTGTATTATTACTATTCATATTATTTATTAAAATAATATATAAAATAATTTTAAAAAAAAAAAATACTATTTTTATTATACTATGTTTGTATATTAATAATTTATTTATAGAAATAATTCAAAATATTATTAATATATTTTTTAGTGATACAATTACAAAAGTTGTTAAATTTTATATGCGTATATATTATTATATTACGTGTTGTTTTAAATAAGAAAATGTTTTATATGTAGCCATTGTTAACATATCACATTTTAAACATCCATAAGAAAAGAAAAGCAAATAAAAAACGAATAATGAAAAAGGTTTAGTAGGTTGATAAAAAGAAAATGAAAATTGAAGACTTCTAAAGTTGTAATTTTTGTCAGAAAAATAATCATATAAAGGAATATAGTTTTGATTTAAGGATAAATATATAAGATTTTTTTTGTTTAAATTAAATTCATTATTATTTATAATAATAGTTTTCTTCTTATTTAGAATGTGATTACTTATATTAACTAATTGCTCGTTTAATAGAGATAAAAGATCTTCCTTATATTTGTTTATTTCATAAAAAAATAAAGATATGTTAGATTTTATACAACAAGATAAGTAATTTAATATATCATTTTTCTGTAAATTAATATTATTTATGAAAAAAAAATGAAATCCTAAAAGTATGGAAAAATTCTTAGAGTAATTAATAGAGTGAGGACTATCGGAATAAACGGTAATAAAATTGTTAGATAAATATTTATAAAATAATAAATTATAATTTTTTTCATTATATATGATGTCTAATGTATAGTTATAATTATTTAATAATTCATATTTATATTTCATATTATAATGAAAAAATTGAATATAATAATCTTTATCATAATAATGTTTTACATGTTGAAGATAATTGAAATTATTAGTTGATAAGTTATGCTCGTTATTCATAAAATTTTGAAATCTCTCTTTTGTATACATAAAAAAGGTTAAAATAAAAATGTAATTTTTCTTATCATGATCATAACATTTATTATTATGATTATTATTTTGTATTTCATTTTTTATATGGTTATTATTTTTTCTTTCTTCAATCATTTTCGAAATATTTTGTGAAATTATAAAAACAATATTTTTATTTTTTAAGGGATTTTTAATAACATAATCCAAGACATATGTAAAATATATGTTTAATAAAATAAATAATAATTGTAAATTATCTATATTGATAAAATATAAATATGAATCTTCTTTTAAGGAAGAATAAAAGTTATTATTTTTAACATAATTATGAATATTTTTCATTACAGAATGTTGTATTTCATTACTAATTTCATTTAGTAAAAATTCTATTTTTTTAAATTTTATTCCTTCTTTAAATATTATTCTTTCATTATCATTAGTTAGAACACCACAGATCGTTTCATTCTGAAAAATTATTTTCTTAATATTGGGAAATATTTTATTCACATATGTGTTTAAACTTTTCAAATCTTTTAAGTCTAAATATATTTTTAAGAAATCCTCATCATTTAATAAATAAAAGAAATAAAACTCATTTCTTTTATCTAATATATGCTTTTCGGAATCATTAATTATATTTTTTAATTGATTCATAAAGTTTTTAAAGTATGTTATATCATAATTTTTTTCTATATGTTTTGTTAATTGAGGATAAATGAAAAATTCTTCACATTGTTGCTTATATTTTTTTATGATTGTAGAAAAATTGTCTAAATTTAAAATTTTTTTTAATTCACTGGTTTTGTATCTCTGTATATTTAAATAATATATCTGTATTTTTTTTATAACAGTTAGAATATTAGTAAAATTTTTTATTTGCTCTGATGACTTATATATATCCTTATATATATGTTTACTAAATTTATCATTTTCTATAATAAATAATTCTGAAAGAATTTTTTTTAAATGGATAATTAATTCATTTATATTATTAATAAAATATACCTTTTTATTCATTAAACAAACATCTACTTTATATTTTTTCAACATATTTTTTAAAATTTGAAATTTTTCATTTATTTTCTCTTCTTTTACATATTCAAAACATATATTCTCTATTTCTGGTATACTATTAGAAAAAGACAGACTAAATAAATCACTGAGATTTATATTATTATAATCATATGTCAATTTTGTCTTTTGTAAAGTATCATTTTCTTTTTTTGTTGAATCTTCTTTATTCATTATATACAAAGTATTTATATTGTCTGTATTTTCAACATTTTTAGAGTGGTTTAATATATTTATAGCTCTTTTAAAATATTTATCATTCTTATATATTATTGTAAGTAATTTCAAAATTTTCATTATATGGTCATATGTTTTGTGAAATTTTTTACATTTTTCATAAAATTCACTGTTTACAAAATTTTTATTTATTTCTTTAAAGGACATATTTATTGTATTTAATTCATTTGATAATTCTTCTAAATTAATATTAAAAATTTTTTCTTTTTTGTATTTTTCGTTAGAACATATATATTTGAAAAACGTATATATAGTTAAACTATTATTTATGAACATATTGGTTAACAAACTAAAATTAACAAATTCGTTTTTCTTTTTTTTCAAAACTTTTTGATAATATATATATTTATCTACGTCTTTTTTTATATCTATTATTTTTAATCTTAGAAATTCAAGAAGATCAAAAATGTAGAATTCTTCTTTCACATCATCATTAATTACTATTTCGTTATTATCATTAATAAAATATTTATTTATATAATCATTTGTTTCATTCACATAATCAGTTAACTTACTTATATCAATATCTACTGAACTACTGATATCATTAATTGATTTTTTTTCTTGAATAATTATATTGTTTTCATCATTTTTTCTTTCTTTTTTTTTTGTATAATAAATATGATTAATATCATTAATTGGTGTAACAAATGAAAGTTCTTGAAGAATATCATTTAAATTGTAATTAAAATTATTTTCTAACATGTTAGTTTTCATTATATTTACAAAATTTTGAATTTTTTTTTCAATTTCATTAATACGAAAAATTAAATCTTTATATAAATCACTAAATTGAAGATCATAATTTTTTTCATGATTTAAGATAGATTTTAAAGAATTTATTTTTTGGTTAATATGAAAAATCTTAGTTGTTTGATTACCACTAATATTTATATAATATTTTTTAAATAGTAAAAATAAAGAAGAAATGGATTCAATATTTTCTTCTATTGTTATTAATTCATCATTAAAAGAATTAACAAAATCTATATAAGAAACTAATTCATCAATGGTTGTAGGATTTTTATTAATAATATTAAGAGAATTATCTAATTTGACTGTTAAATCATCAATGGTTTGATTATTTAATGAGGGCAAATAATTAATTAAATTATTCCACTTTTTATTTATATTTTTTAATAAATAATCAATTAATATAGTATTATTAACTTTAAATAAATGGATATTTATTTCTTTATTCATCCTTTTGATTTTATTCTCATGTTCTTTGAATGAGGTAAATAAAAAGGAAATATAATTAGCATCCATTATATTTATTTTTTCTATTTCTATTTTTTCATATTTATTGTGTAATTTTATAATATCCTTAAAATCATTGCATACATCAACCATAGAATTATATAATATTTTCATTTTATCTTTTAATTCTGAATGAAGATTATTTATTGTATCATCATTATTAATAAAATTAGAAAAGTTCTTGTCATAATTTAAATCTTCATTATTCTTTTCTTTATATATAATGTTGTCTGTAAATATTTGATTTTTGAAAAATTCTTTTATTTTGAATGAATTGAAAAATTCTTCTCTTTTGCATATATTTTCTATACTCATATTAATATAATACATAATAGTATTTATTAACAAATCATATTCAGGTATTATTTTTAATTCATTATTTTCTATTATTAAAATAACATTAAATAAGCATATTTCATTTTTATTTTTATTATTGTTATTATTGTTATCATTGTTGTTATTATTGTTTTCCTTTTCATCAATTTTAATTAATTTATATGTTCTCTCATTTTTAAAAGTATTATTATCATTATTTTTGTCCACATTGCTAATTTGATTGTTTTTTTCTTCTTTAACTTCAAAATAATTATTTAAAAGTTTTAGAAAATATTCATATGTGTTAATAATCATATTTCTTAATGTATTATCGCATAAATACTGACATAAATGAATAAAACGTTTTACATAAATACAGTAGCAATTACTGAGAGCTATTTTATTATAATATACATCTACATTTGTACTTTTTTTTTGAGTATTTTTTGATATATTTTTATTTACAACTTTAGGGAATGCCTTAAAATTTTCTTTATTTTCATACATATTTAATTCTTTCTCTACTTTATTATTATCCTCTAAAATTCCATTTTTTTTTAAAAAAGTGTTTAATGATTTGATACAATATTTACAAATTATATTAGTAATATGCTTCAACTTATTTTTTATAAAACTATCGATTTTTAAAAAATAATCATTTTGAATTTCTTTAAATTGTTCTATGCTCATATTATTTATATTTATATCAATTAATTTATTATCGTTCAAATCATAAAGGATAACCTGTATTTGAATAAACCCTTTAAAGAATTCTCTATTTAAAAATAATAAATTTTCTTTAATATAATTTTTCTTCTTTTTAAATTTTGTGTGCTTAATCATATTTTTTAGTAAAAAGAAATATTTATATAATTTAAATTTTTTAACAAATTTTAAATTTAAAGCACCGTTTAATAATGTTATGAAATCTCTCCATTCATTTAACTCGTAAAAACTTGACTCATTTTTTTCATTTATCATTACTCCATTTAAAGAAATCGACATAAAATCTGTTTCTTTTTTGTTTCTAGCATCAATTTTTTCATAACAATTATTAGACAACCTAATTAGAACAAAAATAAACATAAACATATATATTTATATGTGAATTTTTTTTTTTTTTGAATATATGTATTTTAAATAAATATATTTTATTTTTACTAATCATATAAATAAGACTTTATTCATAAAAAATAAAAAAAAAATTAACTAGGAAAAATTTTATATTGAAATTATGTATAAAAACAGTAGGATGATATAATTTACCTTTTTACATATATAAATTCATTATTTTTTAGATTATTTTTAACGAATTCTACTAGGTCATTATGATTATTCCATTTATTTATTACACTAAAACTTGCTTCAACTATATTCATTTTTTTTTTAAACATTTTATCTTTTTCTTCATTGTATTTATTTTGTTTATATATTTCTTTATAATTTTTTCTTTCTATATTTTCAATTAAATCAACACTTTCACTTTTATTTCTTTTATCAATAGAATTTTTCCCTGTTATATTTATAACATTTTTATTTTTTATAGTAGTTTTTTCTTTTAGGATGAAATCCATTTCATGAAGAATATCAAACTCATTATTCTTATCATTACTAATTTCACTAGTCCTATCTTTTTCTTTTAAATTTAAATTAAAATTTTTGTTAATTGATTTTATTTTAATTTTCTTTTCTTTGATGTCATTTTTGTTATCTATATTAAATTTAATTATTAAATTTTTTTTTAATGAACTATAATTCATTTTCTTTTAGATGTTATAAATAAAAAGAAATATAATAATATTAAAATTTATTTTTATTATTATCTTATTTAAAAAATAAAAAGTAAACAATTTTTTTTTTTTTATTTTCTTTTAATAAAACTTTATGTGAAAACTTTTAGACAGAAAAAAAATTATTTCAAATAAAAAGTTATGCAAAAGTTAATTTTTAATTAGCAAATTATCTGTTATTTTATAACTTCAATTAAAAAAAAAAAAAAAAAAATTTTTTTTAAAAGTAAAATAAGAAGGAATAAAATACGATGTTATAATATTAGATAAAATAAAATTCTAAGTAGAATAACTGTGGTTAAGATATGCCTTAGACAAAGTTGAAAAGATAGTTATAAAGAAAAAAAAAATTATTTTTTTTTTTCACATAGTAAACTATTTAAGTTTTTATTATTTTCAATTTCTAATTAATATGAATAGCTTTTTTTATTTTCTATTTTCAACATAATTTTTCTTTTTTCTATTTTTTTTACCAAATGATTCATTACAAAAAGAAAAATATTTAATAATGACTCATAGAAAAATATTACTACGTAATAATATATTAAAAATATTTTATAAAAAATGATTTATTAATAATTTATAGAAAATTACATTAATGATATTTTATAAGCAGTATTCATATTAATAACATTTTTTTAAAAATATTTAGCATAATTTCTTAATTGTGTGTTTTTAATAAAGGAAAACTTTTTATATTAATTTTTCAAGATTCAATTGTAAAATTATAATTCGTTTTAAAAGTATTTTCTATATAATTAAGAATTGTATTGCACTACACAAACCTTCAAAAAAAAAAAAAAAAATATATGAATATATTTTTAGAAAAAAATAATTTTGTAAGTTTTATTTTATAAATTTTTTTTTTACTTTTAACAGAAAAAAAAAAAAAAAAAAAAAAAAAAATAATATAAAATAATATAAAAATTTATTAGATAAATGATTTTATTATTACTGAATTAATAATCATAGGAATATATATATTTATTTTAAAAAATAATAAAATAATATATACAGTAAGATTCTATATATATGTTCATATATATATATATGTAAAAGAATAAAAATGGGTACATTTTTAAACAAACCAATAAAAAACACTAATGAAGAAATTAAAGGTGAAAAAAAAAAGAAAATTTGTTGTGTATGCTTAGAAACAAAAAAGTTAAGAGATGAATGCATTGTTAAATTGGGAGAAGAACAATGCAAAAAATTTATTGATGATCATAATCAATGTTTAAGAAATGAAGGATTTGACATAAAATAAAAGTTTTAATTTTATTATTTTTCCTCATGCATAAATTTATATATATATATATTAATTTTTATTTTATATTATTTTACTTTATTTTTCTATTTACATTAATATTATTTTTTATTATTTTTTATTTTTGAAATTGAAAAATAGAGTTGTATTTATATATATATATTTTATGTATTTTAGTTGTTTGTAAGTGTCATTATAATAAAAAAAAAAAAAGAATAAAAAATATATATATGAATATTTAAAATAATATAATTACATATTTTTTATTTTTTTAACATTATAATTTTTATTATAAATTGAGTCTATTAGTTTTTATGTTCTTTATTAGGATTATAATACATTTGTAGTTTTTACATATAACTAATTCATAAACAAGAAGTTTCTTATGAAGAAATATTTTGAATATAAATAAAGAAATAAAAATAAATAACAAGAGCATATATTTTTCATACGTTTATAATATCAATTAAAAAAAAAAAAATTAAACGAAAGACAAAATGTTTTTACAAAAGTACAAAATAACAAGGAAATTTCCATTGAATTATATTATGTTAAACAATTGCAAAATATTTAGCAGATATATATATACAAAAAATGAGATAAACGGTATATTTAATAATGTTTTTAAAAATATTTTAAATGACAAAACAAATACACTTCAGAGTATATATAATAAATATCTATATTTAAATTTGAATAAAGTTACTAAAAGATTTTATAACCCTAGAGAAAATATAAATTGGATACTAATTCGATTTAGGCATAGAGTATCACAACTAAGAAAAAAAAAATTAAAATATAAAAATCATTCAAAAGTTGCTTTACGATTTCGTTTAACAAAATTTGGTTGGGAAAGATTGCAATCAGGTAGAAATGCAAGTAAAAAAAATTTGTCAGTTAAAAAATATAATGAAAAGATGAAAATAAAATATGTTTCAAGAGATGACATAAAAAAGTTCAAATTCCAAATGCCTAGTTATGTATTAAGAATAAGAGATTCTCCAGTAGATTATAATCCCAATATTATGAAGGCTAGAAAATTTTTACCATCGCATTTTGGATAGGCTTTTAAAAATATTATAATATATAAATATATATATATATATATATATGTTTTTTTAAAAACTCATTTAGTAACTTAATTTATGTGAAATTTTACGAATATTCTGTTATTAAAACTTATAATAAAAATAATTATTTTTATATAAGGAATATAGAGAATACACATACAAAAAAAAAAAAAAAAATAAAATAAAATAATAAAAAAAAATAAGTATATAATAAAATCATAATAAATTAGTAATTAAAAAAAAAAAAAATATATATTTTTATATATAAAAACTTGATAATTCATTAAGAGTTTTCTCTATCATTATCCGAGTTATTTTGATTAATCCCTAACCTAAAGTATCAATTATATTAAAATATATGAAAATCATAATATATAAAATAAGAGGAACATAAAAATTTATATTTTTTCTATATTATAAATATATAAGTTCAAAAATTTTTATAATTTCAAAAACATTTAACAGAAAGAATGGACTTTAAGATATAAAAGTTTATAGTAAATTCCATTCTTTTGTAATATATTTATCCATTTATAGACAAAACAATTTATAATTTTTTTTATAAAAATATACGAATACACATGATATATAACTTTATATTCATTTTTTTTTTTTTTTTTGCTTTTTTATCTCATTTTAATAACCTTTTTAAGTTAACTTTTTCAAGCCACCATGACCACATAGTTAAGTTCGGATTTCTATATTCAGGGATATCATATTGACTAAAAAAAAAAAAAAAAAAAATAGCATTAACATGTTCATAAATACTAACTTTTTTTTTTTTTTTTTTTTTTTTTTTTTTTTTATACTATCTAGCTAATTGATCTAAAATAACAAAAATCCCAACAGTTCCAAAAATACTTTTAGTAAACCAATTCTTTTTAAATATCAAATTGTATTTTCCCATTTTTATAAATGGACATTAATACATTCGTGAATTAATACTATATTTTTAACTATTTTTATAAAAAATAAAAAAAATTAAAATAATTAAACATATAAATATTTTTTAACAAACATATACTACATTGACTTTTAATATTCAAGTTTAAAAAAATTATATTATAAAAAGGATTTTTTATATAAATTATTGAAATATTCTTTTTTCTTTTTTATCATTAAAGGTCTCAGTAATTTTAATAATAATTTTTTAAAATTTATTTCAAATATAAATATAATATTTTTTAATGAAAAAAAAAAAAAATATATATTGATAAAATGTGAAAAAAAAAAAAAAAAAAAAAAAAAAAAAAAAAAAAAAAAGGGGCCCAGANTTTTTAAAATTTATTTCAAATATAAATATAATATTTTTTAATGAAAAAAAAAAAAAATATATATTGATAAAATGTGAAAAAAAAAAAAAAAAAAAAAAAAAAAAAAGTGCACAGAACTAATGTATTAACATCATAGTAACAAATAATATCAAATAAATCTTTTAAACTTTTATTTTTTTTTTAAAAAAAAAATAAAGTAAAAAAAATTAGAGTAGAAGTTTCCAAGATTATAAAAATTACTATAAAAGTTACAAAAAAATATTAAAAACTAAAAAAACAGTGAAATTGCAAAAATTTAATTTTTACCTTTTAAAAAATCATAAGAATTATTTTTAAAAAGTTTATTATATAGTAACAATTATTAAAACACAAAATTAATAATCCTTTAAAAATAAAAAGAATTTACGATGCTACAGTATTTTTCAAGTTATCAATACACTAAAAAAAGTAAAATGAAACATCATGATGAAATTACAATATTATAAAAAAGTTAGTGTTTACATAATTAATTTTTATGAAATGAATTTATTTTAATTATTTCATTATTTTTTTTTTTTTTTTTACATTTCCAAATATTTTGATTTCATTAGCTTGAGATTCAATCTTACGAAAAAAAAAAAAAAAAAAAAAATTAAATATATAGAATTTTATTATATATCATAATAGAATTTTATTGAAATTAAAAAAATAAAAAAGCAGAAATATTTAATTTTACTAGAGATAGAATGTTCTTTTCAGTATCATCATCATTATTTTTAATGGTATTTTTTATAGCATTTAGGTTGTCGTAAATTTTCCTTAAATTATATTTGTTTTGTGATTTCTGAAAATGAATAAGAAAAAATAAAAAGAAAAATTAAAATCATTATATCTAGTTGTATAATATATATATAAAAATATATTAATATGCTCACATGTTTCCCAAATGCATTTATATAGAGCTTTGTATTTTCTACTAAGTCATCATTATCTTTTCCTTTTAACAACTACATAAAGACATTAATAAAATATACATAAAATATTGATATGCATTTGAAAGAATTAATAAAATATATATAAAATATTTATTGTAAGAAAATAATATTATCAAATATAAAAAAGATATATTAAAAGAGGAAGTAATTAATAAAATAAAAAGAGGATTTTAGTTATATAAGGAGATGCATATGTTTATATCATTTTTATAATAGTATTTACTGCTAGCAATTCAATCATTTTATTTTTGCTTCTTTCTACCTAAAAATTAAAAAGGAAAATACATATATATATATATATATATATATATATATATATATATATATATATATATATATATATATATATACAAATGATTATTTTTTATTTTATTTTTTTTTTTTCTGCTTTAAAATAATTTATAAAGAAAATGTATATATGTATTTTATTAAATTTTTTACTTCATCATCACTAATCCATTTTTTTTTTTTTAATGATAAATTTTCATTTTCATCAGATGATGATGAGTAGGATGATGAGGAATGTGATGATTCATTTTCAGAATATGAACTTTCTATTTCCATATGATTGTCAATCTTTAAATTTTCCTTTTTCATGTAGTTACTTGTTTTGTCTATATCATTAAAATAATTATTATCATTTTTTATATTTTTTATTAATTTGTCTACTAAAAATACGTCCTAAATAAAATTAAAATAAATATATATATATATATATATATTTATAATTTATAACTTAATTATAGTAACTGATTATATATAAATATATTATTTTACAAATTTATTTATACAAACCTTTTTTTTAGTTTTCATTGTTTTTTTATTATCTTCGTAATCATCACCACCGTAATTATAATTTATATGCTAAAATTAAGATAAAAAATAATTTTCACTTTAAACAATTTTATATTGTTTTATTTTATTTTATTTTATTTTATTTTTTTACGTTGTTTAAAGAATTCAGTTGTTCTTCAATAATTTTTATCTAAAAAAAAAAAAAAAAAAATAAGAAAAATTTTAATTTTATTCATAGAATTAATTATTTGTTTTTTTTTATTTACCTTTTCATGTAATTTGCTATGATATTCTTCATTAATATTTTTGTCGTCCATTGTTGAATAGTTTTCATCTAATTTTAAAATACTATTTTTATCTAACGAATGAAGTATATTATCTTCTTTTTTTTGAAAATTGTCTTCCTTTTTGTTATTTTTATGTTTGTTTTCACTTTCTGATGAACCCAAATGAGAAATATCTACTTTTGAATTAGAATTCATTATTGTACCATATTTTTCATAAATTATATCTTTATTTTTTTTTTCATAAATGTCACTATAAATTCCCTTTGAATTATCATAAGTTTCATTCCCCTATTACAGAAATAAAGAGATATATAAAATAATATTCATAACATAAAAAATAATATTAAATTAAAATAAATATGAAGGTAAAAATTATATAATTGAAAAAATTATAGTATTTTCACTTAACATATATACATACTTTATTATAATGAAAATACAAGTTATTTAAACTTAAAAACAAATTTTTTTTTCTTAAATTTTTTATTAAAATTGAGTGTTTGTGTAATTCTTTTTCTAGATGTTTAATATCCTCTTCTAAAATAATCCTTGATGGCTTACATGAACTAAAAAAAATAAAAAAAACACAAATACATAATATATATATGTCTATATTGTATATTTATATGCATCATTATCATAAATTTCAATTATTTAAATAAATGAAAATACAGAAAAAAAAAAAAAAAAATATTTATATTTAATAAAGAAAGAAAGAAAAAATGAACCAATACGGGTTTCCTCTATTTATATCAAAAATATGAGCTTTCACATTTTTCATATTTTTTCTCAGTTCGTTTATTTTCAGAACTATTTCATTTATCTATATATATGAAAATAAAAAAGTTATTATTAATATATAATTTTTAACATAAATATATATATATATATATATATATATATATATATATATATATATATATATATATATATATATATATATATTTATACATATAATTATAAAAAAGATAAATATGTCAATTTATAAAAAAATAATACCTCCTCAAAATTTGACTTAATTATTTCTTCTAAATTGTTTATATACGAAATTTTTTCTTTTTTTGTCTAAAAAAAAGTAGAAAGAGAATTACATATATTTAATAATATTTTTTTTTTTTTTTTATTTTTATTTTGTATTCTTTTTTTTTTTTTTTTTTTTTACATAATCATTTTCCATTATGATACATTTGATTTTTTCAAAAAATTTATCAACCAAATTTCTTAAATTTAAGTAAAAAATATTTATTGATTCATGCCCCTTTAAAGAAAAAAATTAAAAACATATCATATTTTTGTTATAAGATTATATATATTAATTAAAAATAATGTATATAAAGGCGTATGTATAAAATTTTTATCTTTGTATATATTAGTTGTAGAAAGCATTATATGTGTATAAAGGTGATTACTTGTATAATAACATTTTTGGTTTGCATAAAAATGCTATCAATAGCATCAGCTGAAATGTCTGTTTTATTTAAATTAAATAATACTTCATTATTAATATCATTGTTTTTTTTTAATAATTTAATTTTGTTTCTATATTTTTCATTTTCTTCTTGTAGATCAACTATTTGTTTAGCTAAAACTTTTTTAATTCCATTAGTATCATCACTAGATAAAATAGTTTTACCTAATGTTTTCATTTGATTTCTTAACTTTTCATTTTCTTCTTCTAATTTTAAGTTTACCTTTTCATAATCCACATTACCAATGTTTGTTGAGTTAATTTTTGCAAAATTGTTTTTTACAAATAATTCTCTAAGACGATTGCATTCGTTCTATAAGTATAAATAAATATAGATAAATGTATATATATATATATATATATGTATGTATATGTATATATATTATACCTTGTACATTTTTAATAAATCATTTTGGTTACTATTTTCTTTATTCATATTGTTAATTTTATTATGAAGTTTTTTAATTTTTTCATTTAAAAAATGAACATCTGAATTTAAAGTTGAACAACGATAAGAATTTTGGCTTGAAGATCCAGTGGAACATTTGGTAGAGGATTTATTTGAAGATTTTTTAACATAACCTTTTGAATCATAATATTTACATTTTTTTTTGTTTTCTTCATTTTTATAATAATATGGGTATAAATTGGTGCTGTTTGGATAAATTTGTGGTAATGAAGCACCATACTTATTTATACCATCATTTATATTTTGTACATTTTTGGGATTAGAGTAAATATACGAAACCTCATGTGTGCAAATTGGTTTTTCTGTTTTTGTTTTAACAATTGGTAATGATTTTTGTCTATTTATGCATATACTTTTTAAAGGTGATACTTTATTGTTTCTTTTATTTATGCATGAATAGGGAGTTAATGATCTAGTTCTAACAAAAACATTATTAGAGGTTGGCATGAAATAATTATGCTTATTAATATCATTATTATATATAGTAGAATTCATCAAATTTTTATTGTAATTATTTAATTCGTTATTTTTATAAATTAATATTTCAGTTTTAAAATCATTTGTTTCTTTTTTTTTTAATGTATTTTTTTGACTGCTATTGCAGAAAAAGCTTTTTTTTGGTGATGATGGTACTGATAATTTAAAAAACTCATTTTTTGTTTTCATTATTCCATAAGGTGAACTATATGGTAATTTATGAATAACATTTTTTATACCAGTAACATTATGAGATTCATTCATATAAACATTCTCTTGAGGAACGAAAAATGCATCTCTATTTACATTATTACAACTTATAGAAGGATCATAACTTACACTAGTGGGACTTATATCATTATTAATAAAAATTCCATTGTTATTAGGATAAATATGAATATCATTTGTTGTTCTTATCCCATTTATCGTATTGTTATAAGGTTCTTGAATTTGCTCTTGTATATTTAACATTTGATCATTATATAAATTATTACCATAATTAAATTGCTTATATTGATCACCATCATACATTGCATGATGATTTGCATTGTTATCAACGAAGTATACGTTTTTATTTTTATTCTTAGTTTTATTATCTTTATTATTATTTTCTGTTTTTTTTTCTTCATTATTTTCAAATGAAGTTGGAATATATCCTTTCATTTCATAAACACTCAATTCTTTTGTTTTTCCATGATTTTTTTTACCTTTCCTAGAATTTTTGTAAAATAAATTTTTTAATTTTTTTTCACTATTATCTCTTTTTTTCTTTTTGTTTTCACAAACAGATGAACTATTATGTGTGTTAGAAAACATTTTTTGATTTTTACCATTTTTTTCATCAGTTAATTTTTCATGTATGCTATTTTCTTTTTCTCTTGGTGTTTTTGAATACACTGAATTTTTAAGATTTTTTGAATTTCTTTTTTCTCTTTTATTATTTAATTTGTTCCTTTTTACTTCTTTTGTATTATGTGTATTGAACATAGATGAGGTTAAGTTATTCAAAATATGATTCTTAGAAAATTGCTTATTTTTTTTATTTTTAGAATCTTTTATACTATTTGGAAATTCTTCGTTTTTCGAATTATATTCACTTTCTTTATTTTCTCTATTATTATCATTTTCTATATTTTGTTCATAAAAAATATTGTTTGTTTCATTTGTCATCTGATTACTATTCTCATTACTGTATTTTTCATTATCATGATAATATTCGTTCGTTTGGTTATTTAAATATTTATCTGTTTCATCATTATAATATTCCACATCTTCTCTTATTATATCATTTGCAGTTTCATCATAATAGTTTTGTTTTTCATTACTATAATATTCTCCACCTTCAACATATCTACCCAATATATATTCTTCATTATTTCGTTTTTCATATCCTTTATTTTCATTTCCTTCTTGTTTATTATCTATATCATTTTGAAATTCTTTTGAATTTAAATGTATTTTATATAAGTTTTCTTTTGAATAAGTTTTATATGATGAGCTTAATGGAAGCTTACTTCCTTTATTATCCATATGTGAACTAAAATTTGATTGATTAGGAGGATTGTTATATTTGTAAACATATTCATTTCTATAATTTATATTACTTTCACTTTTCAATGACATTTTTATTTTTCTATTTTAATTTAATCAATTTTTATATATATAATTTTTATATTTACACATGTCTGTGTGTATGCTATCATATATAAAAGAAAGACAATAATGCAAACAAAAAAAAAAAAAGAAAAAGGAAAAAGGAAAATTTTATTATAACATTTAAAAGAAAATTTATATTAAAATTCGTAAAAAAAAAAAAAAAAAAAAAAAAAAAATTCAATTAAAATAAGTCAATAACAATGGGTATGATAACTTTTTCTCATTGTTGTAAAAAAAAAATGTGTAAGAACATTTTACACAATATATCTTAAAAAAAAAAAATATTTAAACAAAATAAATGTTTATCACAATAAAATATATTTTTTTATTTAAAAAAAATAAAAATGCATTTTTAATATTTAAAATTTTATTTAAAAAAAAAAAAAAAAAATATATATATATATATATTTTATAAACAGGAGAAATGTCTGATAATTTTAATATTTTCCTATTTAAAATTAAACAAAATTTTTATTGTACAAATTAAAAAACAAAAAAAAATTTATATATTTTTTTTTTTATTTTATATTTCTAAGAACAAAATTATCGTACAATATTACATTTATAAAAATATTTTTATATAAAAAATTATTTTTATACTTTTTTCATAAAAAAAGAAAAATATATGCATACAGCAATTATAATTTTTTAATATACTTTTCGTAGATTTTTAATTAAAAAAATTAGAAATTAACATATTATATAAATGTACATTTTCTTGTTTTTGAATTTCCTTATTTTTACCTTAAAAATAATATAAAAAAAAAAAAATTAGACAATTATTTAATATAAAAATGTAATTATTTTTACAACTTGAAAAATACAAAAAAAAAAATTTTATTTTCAAAATGCTATTTTAACAAATATCTTGAAATAAAATTTTAATAATTAATTAATGTATTCAAAATTTTTGTTTTTAGATTTCCTTTTCCATTTGATATTTAAAAAGTTTTCAAATAAACGAAAATTAACGATATTATTATTTTTTATTTTTTTATATGCTTTAATATAACTAAATTATTACAAAAAAAAAAAAAAAAAATTATACATATATATATAGAGAGAAGATTTACACATATAAATTTTACATTATTTGAATAAAAAATAAAAATTAAAAAAAAAAATATATATATCTTTTTTATTATTTATAAATAACAAATGAGAATAAATTTTTTTTAATACTTTATTTTTCTTTTTATAACTTGCATTGAGGAAATTTGTATGTTTATTATTATTACATTAAATAAAAAAATTGTCCTTTATTTTGTTTTTTGTTTTAATTTTAGTTTTTGTTTTTCTTTTTGTTTTAACTTTTCTTTTTGCTTTTGTTTTATATTCTCTTCTTTTTCAACTATTGCTATAATTTCATCAATTTTTTCTCTCTTTTTTTTTTTTTTTGAGTTTTTGTTTAATAGAAGTTTTAATTTTTCGTTTACAGGGATTGTCTGAAAAAAAAAGAAATAATAAATAAATAAATAAATAAATAAATAAACAAATAAATAAATATATATATATATATATATATATATTTTATATTGCTAATTATTTTTATAAAAATAATATTATTCTTTTATGTAAAGATAGACTTTTTTTTTTTTTTTTTTTTTACATTATCATTAAGTTTCTCATCGTTATTATTTTCATTATCTAAATTTAACGTCTGATTTAATTTATCTAAAGTTTCTTTTTCATTAACATCTTCTCTTTTTAATGAATCATCTATTTCATCATTCTTTTTCTTTTCTTTTTTTTTTTTTTTTTTTTTTTTTTTTTTTTTTTTTTTTTTTTTTTTTTAATTTATCTTGATTATCATTTTCAATTATATTATCATCCTCATTCTTATTAGAATTTTGTTCTATTTTTTCTTTTGAATCATTGTTTTCTTCATTTATTTCATTTGGATTATTATCTTGATTATTAATATCATTTTTTGTAAATTCTAATAATATATTTTCAAAATTTTTCATTTCTCTGTCTTTTTTAGATGATTTTTTTTTTGTATTTTGCTTTTTTTTGTTTAAATTGTTTGAATTATTATTACTATTTTTATTTTTATTTTTATTTTCTCTATCTTTATGTTCCTTTTCTTTTTCTTCCTTATCTTTTTCTTCCTTTTCTTTTTCTTCTTCCTTTTCTTTTTCTTCTTCCTTTTCTTCTTCATTAGATTCTTCACTTTCTAGTTTTTTTTTTTTTTCTTTTTTTTTTTTTTTGTCATTTTGATCTGATGTTTTAGATTTTCCTAAATCTTTTAATTTATCTACTTCATAAAAAAATTCATCATAGTCATCTATAAAATCCGCCCAAGATGAATATTTGTTTATCTATAAAAATTTTCAAATTAATATTTTTAAAATTTTGTGAATAAAAAATAAGAAATGTTGATAATAATATATAAAAAATATGATAATAAAAAAAAAAAAAAAAAAAAAACAATGATAATAAAATAAAATAAAACAAAAAGATTAATTAAATATTCTTGTTACATCGAATGTAAAATTATTCATATCTTTTTTTTCATTTTCTTTTTTTAGTTGTTCCTCTTTAAGTTGTTTTGCTTTTCTTTTTATTTTATCTTCTTGTCTTAAAATTTGAAACATATTACTCCTAGAACTCATTTTTCCTTACAATTTGTGATTTTTTTTTTTTTTTTTTTTTTTTTTTTTTAATTTAAAATATTCTTTTTAAAAACTAATAAAAAATAAATCTGTATGTTGTAAAATTAAAATAAGCTATAGTGAAAAAATTTACACAAAATAGATTATCAAATTTTAAAATTATATATATTTATATATATATATATATATATATATATATATATAAATATATATATATATATTTCTTAGGTTTATTTTAAATATAGTGAATATATAAAACAATGTAAGAAAATTCATATATATGTAAACATATATATTTTAAAATAATATCGTAATATTTTAATTATTTATTAAAATTAAAAAAGCTCTTAATAGATTTTGAATATTCAATATATGAAAATTAAAAATAAATAATAAAACATTTCATATTTATAAATTACATATAATATACAATATAAACAATTAAAATTAATCAATAATGTTCAAAAAAAAAAAAAAAAAAAAAAAAAAAAAAAAAAAAAAAAAAAAA